TTTTTTTTTTTTAAAATGGCGGTTGGCAAGCAACTTTTAGATGTGCATTACCGCCATCTACTGGAATGGAGTGTGGATCGGGACTTTCCAGATTGGAGTATGGATTCAACAATCTATTAAATTCTTCTTAAAAAACTGAAAATACTTCCAAAAACCACATCCCCAGACGACCTTTGAAACAAATCCCCAATATCCAATTTTATTTTATTCCTACCTAACTCTCTACTTAACCTCTCTCTTTCTTGATTATATTTATTACATTCCAAAAAAACATGCTGGACTGTTTCCAGCTCCCCACAACCACAACACCCCGTACTATGTTTCATATCCAGTTCTGGACATGGTCTTAATGTTTGTATTTATTTATTTGACTCATGTTTAAGACACATTAATATTTGTCAGGCAAAAATCAGGCTGGTTTTGAGCCCATGTACCACCACAAACAGACTCTTTAATCTATAAAAAATAACTAACAAAACGCTCCGATCCGCCTTCTTCTTCTTCTTCTGCTTGTTTCTCTTCTTCTTCGTTGGATTTGTATGAGCAAGAGGACCTCCCAATTGAGGCTAACAACCGGCTTCTCGGCTCATTACTGCACCCTACTGGACAGATGTTAGATTGTGACATTGAAACCAACTCAACGTCCAATTCAATCTTTTAATGACATTCATATTTCCTTTGACAGAATTAAATCATTCTCATGAATGCTTACATGTTGGCTAACATCTCACCGATAGCAGAGAAATGAGTGAGATTGAGGTTATCAAATTAACAAAATGTTTAACGGTACGCTGATGCTGGTTAAGGAAAATAGACCAAGAACGAGGTGAATACATTATTATTATGATTATGATTACTATTATTACCAGTATCATTACTACTATTATTATTAATATTGGATGTTTGTACACTTGTATGTCAATTATATGTAAAACAAACATTTTTATTTTGTTTTAACAAGTTATTAGCATACCCTGTTAAATGATTTAATTTTTAATAAAAATACAATTTGACTGTATTTTTTATTTTCTTTACCAAATAACTAAACTAAAATGTAGAAAACAAAGATGTAGAAAAATGAGGAGATATTATCTTCCTCTGTAGAATCCAGTCGAAGCGAGACTTTGAAGATTGTCCCAATCGGCTACCCGTATTTCGCCACGGGGAAGTGC